ACAGGGTGTCTGTGTTTAGCTCTGGCTGTCCTGGATCTCACTCTGTGGACCATGCTAGCTTCTAACTCGGAGATCTTTCTGCCTTCACTTCCTAAATGCTAGGATCAAAGGTGTGAGTCACCACATCCAGCTCAAATGTCACTTTCTTAATGGAACCTACCCTCTGCATCTAAAGTTCAACAACTAATTTTTTTCTCTCTTTAATTTTGGCTTTGGTTCTTTTCGACATCTAACATGGACTATTACTAGGGCCCTTCCTTTACCTGTCTCCTGCTAAGGGTCTAATCCCCCCAAGAACAAGGAATTATGTCTGTTTTGTGAATTTACATTTCCTCAGTGCCTAAACAAGGCTCAGCACAGCTGTTCACTAAGTAGAAATGGCAAATGGATAGGTGAGGTAATCAATGCACCAACAGATGAATGAATGAGTTGATAAAGGAAAAAATCAGACAGTACGTTCAGCAAGGAAGGTATCATGAGAGGTGGTGGCCTCCATCTTGATAAATGGTGTTAGTTTAAATTTAGTGTAAATAATCTTCTAGGCAAAAAAATAATAATCCCATATGAGACTTGTTTTTAAATAAAACAAACTCAGACATGGCATATTCATAGAAAAAGATCTTCCTTATAGGAGATTCTCACATAATAATTATAGAAGGAATGGGGAAACAGAAAATGACCATTAAAATGGATAATACTGATAACTGATAAGATGCGTGATGGATATTAAAATTTCTGTCCCAACATTTGCAGAAAAAACAAGATATTTGCATAGTTTCAATTTATCACATCCAAAATATTTACAAAGCCAAAGGAAAAGTTGTAGTTCCACGATGAAGACAGGCAGCAGATAATACCTATGTCTGATGAAAAGAGAAACAAGACCAAGGAGTGTTTAGAGCCACACACACAAAAACTTAAAGGAGTGTTAATGTCACTAATCTCTTTTGAGACTATGTCTTAGTTACTTTTTGATTGCTCTGACAAAACAGCATGGCCAAGGATCTTATAAAAGAAAGAGCTTATTGGGGGCTTCCAGTTTCAAATGGTAAGTTCATGACCTTCGTGGCAGGCAGGCGTGGTACTGGAACAGTAGCTGAGAGATCACATACTGGCCCCAGTGTAGATGGCAGAGAGAGAAAGAGAGGCAAGGCCGAGTGTGGGCTTTCAAAGCCTGAAAGTCTGCCCAGTGATACACTTCCCCCATATAACCACACCCCCTAATATAATCTGCCCGGGGATACACTTCCCCCAATATAACCACACCTCCTAATCTTTCTTGAGCAGTTCCACAAACTGGGAGCTAAATATTCAAATATATGAACCCATGTGGGCCATTCTCACTCAAATAACCACAGTGGCATTCTAAAAAAAAAAAAACTCTATAATTTTGTGAAAAATTGTTAAATAAATCGAATCCAGGCACGTTCTACTAAATACCTAATCATTTTTTTTCAGAAATGTCATTTCCATTAAGGGAAAAGAGGACTGAGAAACACACAGACTGGCAGGGACAACCGAGACAAGTTGAAACTGTATCTAACAAGGGTGTTAGATTGAATCCTGGAACAGAGAAATGACATAAGTTTAAAAATATCAAAGTACTGCCTGTAATTCTGTGAATAGTTTGAATTGATGCTAATTTATTGTTCTTGATAAATGTATCGTGTTTGTTTAGTCTGCTAAGCTTAGAGCAAGGTGAGTAAGGATACCTAGGGAAATACTATATTAATTCCATAATTTTCTGCATGGAATGTAATCTCAGAATACTAGACCCTGTACTTTTTAACCCCCCAGCACCCTCCTTTTATACATGCACCCAGCATCTCTGCTATGCTTCTTGGTTCTGCCTTACCACAAAGTGTCCTGTGACTTTCTTGAGAATTTAAAGTTGGTGTCTAACTCCTTCATATTTTACTAAAACACACCAAAGAATACAGAGATCAAGTGAGATGATATCCTTTAGGTGATGTGTGATAGACCAAGAGTTTATCTTGGAGACTTTGGTCCTCAGGGTTTCTCAGCTTTGACACTGTATTGGGCTTCATGACTCTTGGGTGTGAACATTACCAGTATTTAGCAGCATCCTTGGCTTTGACCATAGCACATTTTTCTCCTGGTTGTGACAAACTGAAAAGATATTGTCAGGAAGACAACATCCCTCCTTGTTGAAAATAGCAGAGCTTGAGAGGACTGAGAAAGGGTATTAAGGAAGGGATAAAGAGAAGGAGGAGGTGGAGGAAAAGAACAAGGAGAAAAGAAAGGAGGAGGGGAAGGAGGGAGGGATGAAGAGGAGGTGGGAGGATGAAGGAGAGGAAGGTATGTGATAGAAACCAGCATAGGTGTTTAGAGAAAGACAATTAGTTTATCACTTGGTATGATCCTGGAGCTAAATGAAGGTGAGAGAAGGGTGCTATTGGGCAGACTCTGGGTACAGAGAATGCCTGACAGCTAATTGTGTTAAGTACTCACTGTTCTGTTCTCTAGACCCCCCTCCTGCTGTTTCCACCAGGCTAATTTTTATGGATGACATCACAAAGATGCTTGCTTCCTGACTAACTGTTGTGTTGGGCCAATGGGAGCAATGGAAGAGGAACTGAAGAGTGGGAGGAGAGCAGTTTTGTTTCTCACCCTCTCTGCAGGCCTGTGGTAGGGTACAGTGACATGCTGTTCACTTAACTGCTTGCCCTCCAGTCAAGTGGGTCTCTTGGCTCTCAGTAGCTCAGGGCTGAGCCCTTCCTTCTGTTTACCTCTTTGTGACCAGGAGCGGTAAGAATCTTTGGCTCTTGCTAGTTCCTAGGAGCCCTGGCATCTTTTTCTTGTTAGCATTTCATTCCTTCTCCTTGGTTCTTTTATTAGCTTCTCTGCAGACTATTTCAGGGTTATCTACTTATTTTGTGTGTTTGTTAGTAAAAAAGAGGGAAGGTGTGAAGATGAAGGACAGATTATAATATAAGAGGGGAATGAGTACTTGGTCATATTATAACTGACTAGACATAATGGCTAAGGAGCTTGGGCTTAAGGCATCATCAGTGGGGCATCAAGGCCAGGTGGAGAAGCATGTGCAAGTCTGAAGCCTGGGAGACTGCTCTGCGGGTTAGGTGCAGACTTGAGAATCTTTAAGGATAAAGGGTAGTTGAGATTCGGGTAGTGGTGTCATAAAGCATAAGGTGAGAAAGTGTGGTGAAAACAGACATGGAATGGCTGTGATTACAGATAGTGCTAGGGATCTCAGGCCAGTGAAAGAAAAGAAAGAAAGAGGGGGAGCGGAAGAGGAGGGGACAGAGGAGGAAGCTGGTAAAGAAGAAGTAAGAGGAGGGGAAAGGGGAAAGGAGGAATGAAAAGAAGAAATGACTCAGATATACAAAGGTCTCAACACTGGGGCAGGAGTGGGCGGTGCTGGGACAGGAAATCTTTTGCAAATTTTAGGCCAAGTCTAGACTGCATAGTGAGTTCAAGACCAAACTTTGGCTTTGTAAAAACAAAACCCTAACACACAAAAAGAAAGTTCTCGGCCTAAAGGTCAAAGAAGTAAAAAGTTACAAGAAAAAAAATGAGAAGAAAAATGAGCTTGTTTAGCCTGTCTGTGCCACTGCGTCATTAGGGTAGGCACTGCAGCTTCAGTTAGAAGATAAAAACCAGCTGGGTTTTTTCCCTTTCCTCCCAGACTTGTCACAAGTATCAACAATACCTAACTCATCTAGTATAATGACTGGCACATTGGGCAAGTTTTCGTCTCATCTTCACTTATGAATATTCACAAACTCTAGACAATAAATGCTGAATTTCACTTTTAGGTTGAGAAAATAATTACTTTTTTTTTTTTTTGCTATTTAATATGATGTTCTAGTTCTGTTTCTGTTGCTATGATAAAACTCTCCAACCAAAAGCAACCGTGGAAGGAAAGTGTTTATTTCAACTTACACTTCCAGGTCACTTTCTGGAGAAATCAGGATGGGAACTCAAGCAGGACAAGAGGAGCTTGGAGCAGAAACCATGGAGTAAGGCTGTTGCTTTCTGGTTCGCTCTCTGGCTAGCTCGTGGGCTTATGCTCAGATAGCTTTCCAATATATCTCATGACCCTCTGCCTAGTGATTCTGCAGCCTATAGCCTGCAGGGCTAGGACCACCTTTGTAAATTATTATTCAAAATAATCCCTCGCAGACATGCACACAGGCCAATCTGACTCAGACAATTCTTCACTTAAGGCTTTCCTCTTAGAGGACTGTGGGTTGATTCATCTGGCAATTAAAGCTCACGAGGGTATACGCTAAGTTTGAAAAGGTCAGTACAATTATATGGGAAATATTTTTCTACTAGAATCATTGAATTGAGGATACGCATCATGCAATAAGCTACATAATTCTAGGTAAAGTCTGTGCTTTATTGAGTTAAAAAAAAGCTATTAAGAGCTCAAGCTGGAGATTATATTAAAAACAACACAAAATTTGTTTCTAATTATAAGATGAATTATAAGGCATGGGATTACATGTTGTATCTTCAATGCCCCCAGAGACTCATAGAGTAAAGGGTTAGTCAGTGGCTTGTTTGTTATTAGAACCTGGTGAAATCTTTGGGAAGCCTGGCTTCACTCGAGGAAGTTAGACCACTGGAACAAGCTGTTGAAGGAAATATTGGGAACCAGGTCATTTCCTTCCTTGGTCTCCTTGCTTCCTGGATACCACAAGGTGAACAATTTTCTTCACCACACACTCACTTCGTGACACAAGGCCTCAGCACTAGCTCAAGGTCAGCAAGGCCAAACAACCTTGGCCTTACACTCTGAAACTGTGAGTCAATTCCACAATGCAGAGGTAGATTTTCCCTCTTTATTTGTTGGTTTATCCGAGGCACTTTGTTGGAGTGATAGAAAGCCAACTAACTCTTTAGGAAACTTTCCCCAAAGAATTAAAAACAACAATATATAGGCCTAAAATTTTCCCTTTTTAATAATATCCATAGGATTGAAAAAAATATCTTTATACTTTGACAGTGTTTACCTTTTGATGTAGACTTAGTCGACACATGTGCTCCCTGGGTATGCAGGGCTTCCCACCGGCTTCTCTGGAAGGCAGGCAAATGACCACATCCCAGGAGTTCAGATCACCTAAAAACGTAACAACATTTAGCTCCTTCCAGTAAGAAATGTAATTATTTAAACTCTAAAACACAGTGACACTGTTTATAGCAGAATGCTAACACTCAGAAGAACTAAAATTCAACTCTGTCTAATTCAAAAGCTTACCATTTTATTTTTAACATTGTAATCTAGAGAAAATTCAGGTATAAAATATTTATAAAATTTTTTGCAAGATAAATTTACATATATATTTGCAAGATATATATACATATATAATATCTTGTTATTTTTAAAAAGTTTATAAGCCTTCTTACAAAAAGAGACTATGCTGGACAGAAAGTAAAATTAATAAAAATTTCAAAGGTTTCATGAAAAATGAATCTGTGGTCTAGTTACAGATACTGGAGTGGAGTTGAAAATTCAGAACATGGCGTGAACTGAAGCAACTAATATTTCAGCTTTTACCAAGGACAAAATCCTTTGCCAGTAAGTCACACGAGCCTGTCACAATAGCTTGTCAACTTAGGAGAGTGAATTCTGGTTAACGGATTATTATTTATGGGCATATGTAAATTGGTTTTCATTTATTCTTCTGTGTGTATTTGCATGTGTGTGGTATATATGTTTGTGGCACAGACAGAGGAGTGGGGGGCAGGGTTTCCTTCTCTATCACATTCTACCTTATTCTTTCAAGACAGGGTCTCACACTGAACCTGGAGCTATGCCCACTGCCTGAAAGTCTCAATTGTCCTCCTGTCTCTTTCAACACAACACTGCTTTACAATCATGAGTGGCCACCTCCCACTTTCTTTCTATTAAAGCGTGTGGGTGCTGGGGTCATCAGAACTCAGGTCCTCTCGCTTGCATGTAAGGTGTTCTTGTCACTAAGCCATTTCTCCAGCCCATTCATTTTTTCCTTTCTTTCCATTTTTTTTTATGTTGACATGCCTTACATGGAATTAGTACTTTACAAATAATTGTTGAATGGAGAATCCCTGTTGGAATAGAAAATGCATCACCTCTGAGAGGAAAACAAACAAACATAAGAAATGTATTTCAATTGTTAATGTAATAACAAAACAAGTACATCCAGAGAGTCAAGATGGAGTGGGGCACAATAAACAAGTTAACAGAATTTGAGAAATTTTCCTAACATTTTGTTTGGAAAATTAGCTTTAAAAATATTTTCTGTGTATATTGTCGCTGTTGTGAATCATGAGACAAACACAGATGTCACCGCTTGTTTTTTCCATCACCCCTAATGGCTTCTAAACAGCTTAGGGAGGCCACCAGCTTCTTTAAAGTCCTCTCCTCTCATTCTTCCCCCGGGAGAATTTCTCATGTAGAAACATCGCGCTTCCAAAGAAAGGCCGGACAAATAAAAGAACTAATAAGGGAGAAGAATCTATAATTAGTAGTGAAATTTCACTCTTTGCCAACCAAGTACTTTTCATTTGACAAGCCCTGTGCCGTCTGGACTCTGTTTTATGGTTTGGGCTGTCTATTGCCAGAAGGGAAAACTTCCTGGCAAACAAAATGATCTAAACAACCGAAGTCAAGCTCTCATCCCACAACTGTGCTGTTGGCGTGTTCATGAAGATACTGGAAGAGAGCACAGCCGATCAAAGGGGCAGGGGTGAATTCAGCAGATTAGCTGGGACAGAGAAGCTCATCCATGCAACAGCAAGCCAGCCTCAGGCTTGGGAGATGGAGTCGCTGTCTGCACATCCCCTCACTTTGAAGACAATTTCAGAGCAATTCCTGGAACTAAACCCAAGTACAGTGCAATGCTTCTAATCCTCTGTTTTGAACAAGGCAGTGGCCTTTGTCAGCCAACATCTTTTGATTTGAATTCTAAGAGAAATACAATGCGTTTTTATTTCATGTCTAGTTCAGGAAATAGTGAAACCCTAGGGAAAAAAGCCTTCTGTCATAAGATCCCCAAATAAATATTTTAAGAAGATAAGGATATACAAAGAGAGAGGGATTTCAAAGTAAGAACTGCATTGTTTGGTTCTTAAAACCAGAGTGTATTCTGAGTTCCTCTGAGGTGTGCCTCCTTTCACTTTGGCAACTTCTAGAGTTGGTAGAAAGAAACACATTTCAGTCATAAACGTTTAAAATTGAGAAACATTTAAATAATTCAAAGGAACTCATTAAGAACTTTCAATGAGCAGAACTTTGCCCTGGGTATGTGGAAGAAAATAGAAAGAAAAAAGAAAAAGCCAGGCAGTAAGTGCCCTCATCGCTCTATCTGAAGGATCTAAAACATTAAAAAGATTTGAGGATAACTTACAAAATATCACACAGTCTCTTGGCATTCGTAAGGTGACCCTTCATCTCCCCAAAATATTCAATTAATATTTCAACTTAAAAATTAATAATTCAAAAAAGGCTCCTAGCCCTTCAATGTTCTTTTAAAATGAAGTAAAATATAACAGGAATTTCAAGAGATGTCTTCATATACGTCTTCCCTAATTATCGTTACCTAAGCCAAAAGAGTACTTACTGTTTCCATTCAAAATTCCTTTCCTTAGCTGAGCTCAATGCCAACCTCCCAAATCTCTCCAGCTTAAATATTTAGTAAGGTTTTCACTTTCTCAACATTTCTTTCTCTTGCTTCGGAAGTCAGCTCCCTCCTCCAGTTCTTGCTACCCTCCCTGACTTTACAACGCCAAGTGTTACTTGTTTCAGGAGACAATACATGTTCACATTTGGCCACAGACACTCAGGAGCCATGTTGAAAATAGAAACTTTTACTACAGAGCAAAGGATATTTATTCTTAGTTTTGGAACATTTTAGGTACAAATTCATAACTTAGTAGAATTCCAAACTAGTGCACTATTTGGGGACCCTGGTGACCACCATCCTCCAGAGGATAGTATAACCTACTAGCAGATACAAGCACAACATTCAGAGTAGAGCTCACAAGTGGGAGGCATGGGGGCACATGCCCAGTCCTTGAATAGATTGTGCTTGCCCAGGACAATAGGTAAATACTTGCCAAATGCAAATGGCAGCAGACTCACACTTGAAAAACCAGATTTTGGCCACTTTTGGAAACCCTAGTAACATTAGGTCTACATCTTGCGAGGCATCCAAGACTTCAGGGAGGTGCCCAGGAGTCCTCCACATGGTTCTAAGGCTGTCTCCCTCTGCATCTAGCACCAGTGGTTTTAGCTCTGCTGCTGTAAAATACTGGTGATGGAGGGAAGGGCCACTTGTTGGTTCCCTGCCACTTAGCCCGGAAATAATCACACAGAAACCATACTAATTAAATCACTGCTTGGTCCATTAGCTCTAGCTTCTTACTGACTAACTCTTACATATTAATTTAACCCATATCCATTAATCTGTGTATCGCCACATGGTTGTGGCTTACCAGATAAAGTTCCCAGCTCCATCACTTCTCTCTAACTCTGCCTTCCTCCTCCCATGCTATAGGCCAAGTCAATTTCTTTATTCATTAACCAATAAAAGCAACACATAGACAGAAGGACGTCCCACACCGTACTGGTATGTCATATTCCAATAATCATCATTTGACAAACTGATGCTCATGTTTTAATTTTTAATGAATTAAATATATTCATTAGCTAAGTTGGTTTTGTTGAAAGATCTTAGGGACACTGATATTTGGTCATTTGGTGGTAGTCCTTGGTAAATTTGATGGTTCCTTGAGTTGTTGCCTAAAAGAAAATTAGACCCTATGTGGTTTAGAATACTAAATTGGAATATGGGTTTCAAATCCACAATGAATATATAAGCTATAGTAGTGTGGTGGTTTCAACAAGAATGGCCCTCAGAAGCTCATACGTTTAAATATCTAGTTCCTAGTTGGTGTAACTGCTTGGGAAGGATGAGGGGTGTTTCCTTGTTGATGGAGGTGGCTCACCGTGGGCAGGCTTGGAGGATTCAAAAGACTGTGTCATTCCCAGTGTTCTCTCTCTGCCTCATACTTGTGTCTCAAGATGTGAGCTCTCAGTTGTTCTTAGCACCACGCTTTTACTTTTGTGCCATAGACTCTAACATCCTGAAATAGTAAGCCCCATTAAATGCTTTCTCTTATAAGTTGTCTTGGCTATGGTGTCTTATCACAGCAACAGAGAAGTAGCTATGAAAGGCAGCAATATACAAGGATGCAAACAGCTGAAAATTGTTCTAAGATTTATTGATTATTATTCTCTCTCTTTCTCTCTCTCTCTCTCTCTCTCTCTCTCTCTCTCTCTCTCTCTCTCTCTCTCTCTCTGTGTATACATATGCATGTAGGCAGATGCCCTCATAAGTCAGGAGCATATATGGGATTCCCCAGGAGCTAGAGTCATAACTCTTCATACACTGTCCAGCATGGGTTCTTAGAACTAAACTCTAGTTCTCTACAAGAGTAGCAAGCATTTTAGCTGCTGAGCCATTTCTTCCTAGCTCCAAGAGCTAGGAATTCTTAAGTACCCTAATGCTCCTCATATTGTTCCGAATGTTTGTATTAATAATTTTTCACCCAGGATCCCACACTGGATATGGATGTTCTGAGAAGCACAGAAGAACTAAGTAATTTGCCCAACATCTTCCATCTGGTTAATGGACTTGAGTGCTGGAAGTCTAGGTCTAAAGACCAAGTTCTTGACACCATTAACCCCTCAAAACACAGGGAAACAACAGAGCGACATCGCTTCTGATGCCATATACCTTTTCATTTATGTTTTACTTATGACAACTTTTTAGGCTAGAAACAAGGATTGTACAAACTTTAGAAGTAAAGACAGACAGACAGACACTCAAAATAAACAGATAAGTAAAACAACAACCACAACAAAATATTATCTAGCTTTGGTCTTTTTTTAGTTACTACCTAGTATGTCTATTTCCCTTTAGGAACTTGAAGGAAAGAATGATTGTAGTAGGTATAATCAGGCAACCCTAGGTGCTCACAGGCTGCTAAGCCCTTCATTAGCAATGCTGCTGACAACTGGAGTCTCTTAAATGTGGAAGAAACTCGTCCCCAATCACACGTGTACTCAGCCATTGC